AGGGAGGGGGTTGCTACATACTGAGAAAATATATAGTCATAGGATAAATATGTTTTTGAAACATTCAAAATTTGTATACTCAGGCAGCCAGCTGCTTCCAATTCACTGATGTACAATGCCAGACAGGTCCGTGCATGCCAAAGGGAAGATGAGTGGCTGATTCGGAGAATAGATTCAAAAGGTGATCATTTTTCTAAACCAGCTCTGGGTCTAAATCAGGAAAAAGGTCTAGCAGTGTAAAAACACATCTCTTAGAAAACAGTGTTGTTCTTAATGGTATGGTCATGATGATTTTAATCACTTCTTACCTTTTAGATCTTTGCAAGTAAGCAAACTTGCTCTCCAAATGTAGTCTGGCTGACCTCATCCAGCTTGCCTCAGGTCTTCAATATCTGCCTTGATTGCAACCATTCTTCAGCAAAGCAAAAGGCTGAGAACACAGTGTTCATGACACTGCTGTCCTGGGATCTGGGGAACAATACTGCTGGGGAACCAAACGGGAAATAGACTGAATATCGTCAACTTGATGGAAGTGTTGGAGTTGCACTTCCTCTAACTAGCTGAGGAAATGGTTGTGAATTCAGAGACATGGTTACCGAGTTAGTTCACAAGAGGAAAAATTCCACGTTTTCTGACTGCCTTCAGTACCAGCCTTTCGCTTGCACTCTGTGGTTCCACAAAGCATACAAGGTAGTGGTTTGAACGTAACAAAAATGTTAAGCAAGCATGCATTAATGGATTCAAGAGATGGAGCTGGTATGAAAGAGAGGTTTATGGGGTGAGCAGCTTCTAACAGCTGGAAAATGGGACAGATGAGTTGCATCTACTTCTCCTGGACGAGTGGTCAATCACACCCCCTGCATAACATGTGCACAGGGTGTCCCTAGAGAGCCCAGGCAGCTTCTGCCTTCCTGACATATAACTGGAAGTGGGGACTTAGTCACAACTGTAGCTTGAGAGAAAAATCTTGTATCCCAGTTGAAAGGCTTTTTGTCAAGTGATTGTCTTACATGCTGTTTCTTATATCCAAGGCAAAGTAAAGCCCCAAAGCCTCAATTTGTGCCTGCAAGACTGTGCTGTCCAGGAGGGGACGTCCAGTTGTCCTGCAGGTCCATGGAGTTCCCTGCTTCTTATTATTATTATGCTTCATCTGATCCCAGTTTTGCAATCAAACAAACATGTGTTTGTGTGTGTGTGAGGGAAAGGGACAAAAAAAGAAGCAACAGCCAGAGCTTATTGGTGTCTGACATTCGTGGGAGCCTCGGAGTCACTGTGCTCAGTGCTGTACAAATAGATCTGATGCCACTGTTTACTCCCAAGGACTTCAGAGCCTGACTGCATGGTCTTGTCTCCACAGCCCTCAACACGGCAAGATGGAAGAAACTACAGAGCAAGAAGGAGGAGCTGGAGAGGCGCTTTGAGGAGGATGTGAAGCAGCTTCACAGGCAGCAGCAGGAGGAGCTGCAGGTGCTGGAGCAACGGCTGCAGGAGGAGTACAACACCAAGAAAGAGAGCCTGCAGGAGCAGCACAGGCTGCAGCTGGAGCAAGTCAAATTGCAGCATCAGGATCAGGTCAGTCCCTGCCTGTTCCCTTTGAAGAGTAGACTATGCCAGTACTGAATTCAGGTAATGAAATATTGAACACTCCAACATGAAGACACAGGTACTGAACTGATGACTGGCTCTTCCTTCCCCTGCTCAGAGGAAGAGAAGCACCCAGCTCAGAGCACGCCAAAATGAGCAAGCCTGCTTGAGGGACCAGAGTCGTTCAGCTCTGACACTGCTGAGCTGGCACTGGTCCCAGCCAGCATTACAGCAGAGGCACTTAACTCATGAGCTTCTTTTTATAGCCAGAAATAACCATGACATGGGTTAAGTGAGTTAATCGAGCCTATAGAGGAAGTTAGTGGCAAAGCTGAAATTAGCATCCGAGAGACTGCTTCCCAGTAGACTATCTGCTGTGAAAAATTGCAGACAGGAGGTTACACTGCAAGCTTAACAGACTCACTTGGGATGTGGATATGAAACACACAGAAGACAGAAAAATCCCTGTAGACCATCTGGAACCCATTTAATTGTTTTTCTAGATAAATAACTTGTCAAGGATTGTGGCAGTGAAAGGAGAATCCTTCACCTTCTGGAGATGCTGAAGTTGAGCATAATAATTCCTATGGGGTGATGTTCAACTGAGAAGCAATTAGAGTATGAATAAAGACTTAAGCAAGGGTGAAGTAAAGAATATGGCAATGCTCATGAGGTTTCAGCACACAGATATCATGCACAAGGACATTGTGCTCTGGGAAAAGTCAAGTGATAGTCCCTATCCCATTAGTAGCCCACTGAGTCATCTAGCCCCGCTTTCCCTGCTCTTTTGTGCAATGTTATCAACAGGCTGAGTCCTCATTGTTTTGCAAACAGTTCTTCACCACTGTCTCCCACATTATTATGAAATTAGTTTGAGTAATTTTAAATTCCATATTAAAGGCCTATCTTTCATTCTAAGAGCATGCTTTCTGCAATATGGGAGGAAGTTTTGCTTCTGTTGGGTAATCTAACACATGTGTTTGACAGTTAAGTGCAGTGAAATAATATTTATTCCAGTCAACACATGCTCAGCTGCAGTAACTTTCTGCCATTATTTAACATGACAATGAGCAAAAAAGCTGTTTAAAGTCAAGTTACTTTGCAATGAACAGCTGTTTCATTGTAAAAGTAAATTAGTTTGATCCTCTGCATTGCTAGTTATCACAGATAATGTATTAAATGTAGGGAATAAGATCCCTGTGATTACAAAACCCAGAAGAGCAAATTGATATATTGCATTCAAAACTGCCCTGGACCACTGACAGAACCTCAATCACCACCTCTCCCTGTATTCTCTTCAATGATGCATATCAAAACACCGTCATTAGGGAACTCACTTTGCCTTTAGCCGAGTCTAGTGACAATGTACTGAAGGAGTCCCGACCCACAGCCCCCAGCCATGTTCTAGCTGCATCCCCACTCCCGGGATGGCTCTGTGCAGTGTCGCGTGTGGTGCGGTGTGTTGGGCAGCTTGCAGCAGCAGGGCCTCTTTCTGGCCTCAGTATGAGATTGGGGAAAAAGTTTTGTGGCTTCACTGTTGTCCGCACTGACCTGAAAACTCATGTGTCTGCACTGAAAAAGGTGCTGTCATATATTTCGTCAGTTTATTGGACATGGACTGAAAATACGTGACTCAAGGAAATAGGAATTTGGGTATTGATGACTTTGTGGGATACTCTTTTTTAAGAAGTGTGACAGATTGCAATTCCTTTTTCACACCCACTGATAATAATTTCAGTGTTTCTCTAGAAATAAATATTTCACAACTGTGAATAATTCATAGGCACTTTCCAGGGAAGTTAATTCAAGACCTTACAATAAAAATCGTTGCAGCAAAGTGCCGTGAAGACAAAAACCAGGACAGCTCAATACTGTGCATATTTATCTGTCCATCAGAGGGAGCCAGGCCATTAATTTAAACTAATGGAATGTTATGATATTTCTGAACATTCCATAAACGGCTTCTTCACTTAAGGGCTTTTTTGCCTTTTCTTTCTTACCTATCTCTATTATCACCATTACGTTGAAAGAACAAAAGCACTACCAGCATTGACTACGCACGACTACTCAAGGCATCAATATGCCATTTCATAACGAATAAAACTGTCTCAGGTGCTGGAAATGTCACTCTCAGTAGATGCCTTTACTGTTTCCAGCTCACTGGAACTCTCCAGCAGTGGCTTATCGGAAGGCCACAGCATGTCTAACCATGCCTTTATGTCCCCATTCATTGTCATTGGAGCAGGTGGAAGATATCACAGCTGTACATGAAGCTGCAATGTTACAGCTGGAAAATAACCACATAGTTGCCATCACAGTGCTGCAGGATGAGAATGACTGCAAGATTCAAGGTAAGCCAAAGGCAACCCAATGGCTACAGAGCTATTCCAAAGCAGGAGCTAGCACTGTAGTGGGATCATGTAAGCCTGGATTTTCTTCCTCCTTAACAGGTGATACAGAAAATTTGTGTTGGTCTAGTGCTATCACGTGGGGCAGACCACCAGGTTTGTGCTAGGGGTTAGGGAGAGCTGTGTGCAGTGTGTACTGCATCTGACTTGGACCTTAGACTATCTGAGGGGTCTTTGAGCCAAAGATAAGGCTTTCTCCATGGGTCATTGAACATGGAGACCAAATCCCACCTCACTTCACACAAAGGCTTCTCTCAAGAGCCTAATCTTCGAGTGCTCAGGAGGCTGGAGCTCACTGAACATCTCTGAATTTAGGTGCTTAAATGCCTACACTACTTCTAAAGACAATGCTAACAATTTTCAGTAGCAAAAGACCTGGCCGTGCTGAGCAGATCAAAGTCACACTCTGGTGCAAATCTGCACCTCACAACTGTTATAAAGAATTTTGTGTTATGGGTTTTTCCATGAGATTTGATGCTGCAGGCAGAGCTGTGTCCTCTCTACCAGTTCAGTGTCTAAATATATGTCTTTGCACATGCCTTAGATGACATTTAACAGTACCTGTACAATCCTTTTTTTCCTTTTTTTTTTAAAATCTTTTTACATATAAGCATGAGAGTCTAATTTTTAAATAGCTCTAAGTCGGTTTTCCCACGACTTTCCCCAGACCGAGTCATATTGCTTAGCTCTGCACTGTGTCAATTAGAGACACAGTCCAGAGCATAATGTGAGCTGAGAACAGTCCGTTGTCCTCTCCTTGAGGCAGAGATGGTGTCTAGCATACTATTTTTAAATTAACATACACAATTTTGAAAACAAATAAATAAAATGAAAGCTATTCTTTCCTTAAGGATATTCTTATCTGTCCATTTTTGTCAGTATTTTCTGATAAAACTTGGCTGGGGTTGTTTGTGCTCCCTACTCCTGGTGCAGGTATGAAATGCCCTCCTGTGCGTGGAAAAGGCATTGCAGCAGCCGCGGTCCTGCACTGTACAGGGCACCAGAGCACCAGTATTATTAATGCTGTTACTGTGGCAAAGGTTAGATGGGAGAACCTCATGGGGTTGAAGGTAAAGACACAACAAACCAGTGTCTGTATACTAAAAAGGTAGGTTTAAAAAGGAAGAACTGTACTGAATGACAGTTTCAGGCCATTATATAGACATTAAATTTCATTCTACTTTGGTTATTAAATGTTTGGTTATTATTAAGTCCAGGGTGATTTGTTCTAGTAGTGAAACTTTTAACCATGTAATATAAATAGAGGACTTTTTTGTCTTTGGGCTCTGTCAGTTTCACTATTGGAATAAACCTCTCAGGTCATCTGCCACAGCTCCTGGAGAAGCACAGTCGTTCGCACTTTTGCATCTGAGTTTCTGACCCCTCTCTCTATATTCCCAAATAAATTGCAACCCCATCTTTTAAATATATCTAATTTAAAAAGTTTTGATTTGAGGATATTCACTCTGAACTGGTAAATGACCCACTGTCAGACTGATCCTTTTCAGATCAAAGCCCTGGGAGCTGGAATTCTGAGCAGTTCTGAAAAATCAGAATCTGGTCATGTAGAAATAGAGGGTCCAGTGAAGGATCAGGAAATTCTGATCCGAAAACACTTTACCTAAGGTTTCAGAGTATTTTACTACCAGTTTCCTGCTCAACATCCATGCCCTAAAACTGCATCCTGAATTGCACTTGGCTCATGATGTCTGTGCTCTCAGGCCTGGCTTGCCGGACTTTGCTGAGCAATGTCATGTCTGTATTTCTTCCCCAGAACTCAGTATAGCTCACAAACTGGAAAAGGCACAATTGGAGGAGAACTTTGAAAAACTGCGGCTCTCACTCCAGGTTAGCCATTTTGTTATTCCCATCCCTGCAATGATGTTGTGGAGCAGCCGACGGGGCAGCCCCAGCCCCGTTCCCAGCTGCCAGCACACTGGGCTGTCGGTTCTTCCCAGCTATAGTTTCTCTTGTCCTCTCCCTGTCCAAATTGGGATCTTGCAACAAATGTGCCCCTTCAGGTTTTCTCCTCCCCCTTGGCTGGTTCAGCACAATACTATGTGAAAGAGAAGAGAGGGCAAACCTGAAGGGACAATAAGTCAGCTGGATAAAGCAAAGCAATGTCCTTTTGACCCTGTTGGCCTGGCACAAGTTGTAAAGTTGAATGCTTCCCTGCGTGGTGGGGAGGGCTTCAGCACCTGCAGTGGCTGTGAGCATCACCTGGTCTATATAGTGCCCACTGGCAGGCTCAGAAACACTGACCTCTCCCTGCCTGGCCCTGTGCCTGTGCTTTAAACTCTTCCCACTGACTAAATGTGGGGAAGCTGGTCCCATGGTGTAGACACATCTCCATTCCCACTGGAGGGCAATGCGGTTCCTGATGAGGGATGTCCCAGGGCTGGCCCCGCTGTACCCCAGGCCAGCTGGCGTCAGTCCCGCTCATCACAACTCCCACATCCCACTGTTCAACACCACACTCCGGATGGTCTTTTTCAATTCTAGTATCTCCATGCTGTTCTTACCCCCTAGATGAAGAAATCCCAAGGAGTGGAGTGCAGAAGTGTACCCCTGTGATTCATACTAAGTTCAGAAATCTTGTCTGAACAAGTAAAGATGCCACAGCAAATAATGCAAGCTCTGGTTGATTTTGTAGGCAGAGATGAATTACAGCTTTTAAAACCCCTGACTAGCACATGCTGTTTCACATAGCAAATGTCACTGCCTTCCTCATCTGCTCTGACAGTTTGAGGCATGTCAGCAGTTTTGCAATAAGCACTGATGTAATGTTACAGCCAAGAAATTACATGTATGAAAGATAAGAATACCAGTTTCACATCAGTAGTGGCTTTTACAGGTGTTTTATATAGAGAGGAAGCAGGATAACAGAAATGAGATTGCTTAAAATAACATGTTCCTATTTATAGTCTCTGAGATGAAACGACAGTCATTTAAAGCCCACACCACTAACTCGTTGTTTGTTACCGTGTTTTAAGGCTAGAAAGATAAAAGAAGCAGGGAGGAGGTGTCTACCACTTCATTTCTTAATGTCTGTGATAAAAATGCCAGCTTTCATAAGGAAGGACATGCTCGTTCTCTTTCAGCCCAAAGCAATGGGGTGATTTAGCATCAAAGACATTTCAAGAACTAGTGCCAGGCAGCGTCAGCCAGCCTCAGGCATTGCAGGGATTTCAGGATTCCCTGAGGCCCTGTATGTAAAGGGCTGTATGTTCAAGTGGCCTTACGTAAAAAATTCTGCCTTACAGGGCTTTCTAAGCCTTGTCCAGCTGCCCTGGTGGTTTCACAGAGCAGATTGACTTGTATGAACGTAACACAGTTGGTAACACAGTTGGTGTGTTCATTGGTGTGTCTCCCCTCCAGGACCAGATAGACACCCTCACCTTCCAGAACCAATCTCTTAAGGCCAAAGCAGACCGATTTGAAGAGGCTCTGAAGAAAAACACTGAGGAACAACTGAAGGTAGATGGCAATTATAGCTATACAGTCATCAAGTTAAGTATTTCTAAGCATGACTCGCATCATGAAATTCTGTGGATAGCAATGGGATCCTTATCCCAAGCACTGGGGGAGCAGGTCCCAGACAAGACCCCAAATCCTGAGCTCTGAGAAGGAGAAACCTTAGTCTAGGTACACAGTTTTCTGAGTTTACTTCTTTTTCTTTATTCTCTCACCCAGCATTTTCAGCTCTGTTTCCAAAACATTTCATTAACTCCATCTAATATACCCTTACTGCTGTCTATCTTCTCTCCTTTCTTCCTCTCTTCCTCTTTACTTTTATGTCCTTGCATATTTAGGTTTTTGGTTTTTTTGGTTTTGGTTTGGGGTTTTTTTTGTGCCTTCTGAAACATCTTCTTTGATATCCTCTGTATTCCCTCTTCTTCTTTTTTTTCTGGATTTGCAAGAGACAGTCCTGCCATATGAATTATTTATTCGATTGCTGTGTACTGGGGCAATGCTGTTTATTTACAGTGTGCAAGTAAACACATGCTGCAATTAATCTGAAATTAAATAACCCTGAAATAACCCTCCAAAAAAGAGTTTTAACTTGGGGCATTTCAGTGTGTTCACAGCACAACCCCATGGGCAGATGTATCAAGATAACAGAAGTGAGAGAATGAGAGTAGTTGAGTGAGCAAGCAGCTCGGTAACTCCTTAGGAAAGGAGCACAAATGTCTGTAACAGGCTTGGCCATGGGAAACAGGTAGCATCCATCCCTTTCTATCTCCACTGCAGTGTTTCATTTACATGAAAAGACAAATTCTGCTGTGTCACAGTGATGTTAGTGCCAAGCACCACCGAGCAGCTCACTGGAGTGAGTTACACTGGGGAAAATCCAGAGCAGTTTAAGTCAGCGACAATATTTCATCAATATAATTCCAAGTACATCTTTTTCCCATGGGTTTAACCCTAGTAACCTCTACATGTGAAGTTCTTGAGCAGAGGAGGAACTTTTCCCCACAGGTCTGATCTTTGTTAACAGGCACTGTGGTGCACTGAAGCAGGCAAGGCAGAACAGTGGAGTTTTCACTTCCAGTCCCCTTGTCTAGTTTCCTCAGTTTCATGTTTGTACTTTTCCCAAGCCAAAATCCCTGCACAAGCATAGAACACCTCACCCAATTGTCAATACCCGCTATGTTCCCAAGCTATGAATAAGAATGAGGTTTCTGAACAACCTGGCATCCCATCCTTCTAGCCATGAGGGTGGTCAGAAGAAAGGTACCATTGGTTATCCAACCAAAGGGGTGGTCTAGGAGAGAATATCAGGGTCCAGATGGGCTGCAGAGGCCCAGGTCTAGGTGGTTTTCAAATCACTGGGACTCCTAAACCACTGGGTACATTGAGGAAACTTTGTCTTATGGCCAAAGATGTGTTTATGGCTGACAGATATCCAAATGTCTGGTATATTTCCTAGATTGTAAGAACTCCGTATCTGCATTTAGAGAAAGATCTGAAGAGCTTAAAGCATGTTCTGGAAATGAAGAACCATCAGATTCACCAACAGGAGAAGATGATTATGGACCTAGAAAAACAGGTGAGTTGTCATTTTTCCTCTGGAGGAGACATCACAGAGATAATACAGTAAAAGTTTGTTTACAGCAGATGAACTTAAAAAAGGTGAGGAAATACATGAGGTTGGGGCAAGACACGGTCAAAGGGGTTCATAAATAGCTATGTATTGTGTGGTTCCACTGTCAACATACATAGCTATACCATGTCTCAGGTTTTCACACGAAAATGGAGACCTTTTCCCACTCCTTCCCCCACCCATGACACCCTTGATTTCTCCCACACATCCATTATCTGTATTGCTTTTTCATGCAGTAACTGCTCAGCCTGTTATATTAGTGGTGTAGGAAGAATGCAGGAAGTGGAGCTTTATGGTAGTCCAGGGCTTCATTTTGTACACCAGCCTGCAGCACAGGAGCCGGGTAACCATTTAGGGAGAGGGCAAGTGGAGGAATGCTGAGCCATGTGCATCTTGCTGCTGCTTGTGCAGGTATTTTGGGAGCTCCCAGCCACAAGTATGAATTAGCAATGTTCAGCAAGTAGTCCCTAGCAAGGCTTATGCTCGGAAAGGTCTCTCCAACCCTAAAGTAATGCTTTCTGCAGTCTGCACTGTTTTCTCATCCGTTGCTTGTGGCGGTCCCTAATGAAGGACTCCCCAGGTCACCATCAATTACAATTTTTGTTCGAGAGCAGATTCATTTTGTAAGGCAACACCTGCAGTGACAGTAAGCATACAGTGTGGTGGAAGGATGAGGTGATGCCCTCGCTGGGGCAGCTGGTTCAGCACAGCATTCAGCAAGGTTTGTTTCCATTTGCAGGGAAACTTGAGAACTCTGATGGTTATTTTGCTGAACAAATGCTTGAGTAAGTGGATGTAGAGAAAAATGTGTCTTTACAACTGGGGCTTGTTAACTGTGCTCCTTCCAAAGCGCTGCCCCCTGAGCCAAGCCAGCATCTGAAAACATGCTCTGTAGTGTTCTACTGAAAAAAATACAAACTAAACAATAGCCTACATAATTCCTGGTCATTTAGCTGCTTTTGCTAATTAACCACATACAAGACACAGTCCTGCTCCTGCCCTTTATAACACTGAGGCTACTGTTGCACAAAGGCTTTCTGCTTGAAGATAGAATCACAGACTGGTTTGGGTTGGAAAGGACCTTAAGATTCATAGATTCATAGATTCATAGTTCCAACCCCCCTGCCATGGGCAGGGACACCTCACACTAGACCATGTCACCCAAGGCCCTGTTCAGCCTGACCTTGAACACTGTCAGGGGCAGATCATTGGCCACTTCTTCAGGCAACCCATTCCAGTGCCTCACCACCCCCACAGTAAAGAACTGCTTCCTTATATCCAACCTGAACTTCCCCTGTTTAAGTTTAAACCCATTACCCCTTGTCCTACCACTAGAGTCCCTAATGAAGAGTCCCTCTCCAGCATCCTTGTAGGCCCCCTTCAGATACTGGGAGGCTGCTATGAGGTCTACGAGGCTGCTATGAGATCTACCTTTATAAGTGCCAAAACATCTAGGGCATCTCCAGATGCTGTGAAAGATGGGGTGCCTTGTGAGGGAGCAGGAGGGCATTTCAAACACCAGGTCAGGCTTGTTTCCTTGTCTGCAGAAGTGGAGGCTGGAAATGAAGGTGGCAGGAGAAGCATGGCATAGGGGGAGGGTTGCAATGGAGAGGGAAGGAGATGAACGTGTCTTCTCCCATGCTTCATGCTGGCATAGCTACTACTTTTTAAAAGTATTGAGGGATCAAAAAGAGCTCTCAGAGCATTACAAAATGTGGCCAGAATATTTGCTGTGCTCTAACAAAATATATTGGGATAGGCCAGAATATCTGAGAGTCAGGAGTATCCTTTATGGTTACCTGCATAGGCAGGAAACCACTGCATAAAACCGATGCCTCTGACATAAAGTGTGAGTTATTGCTAACTCCAGTGCACAATATTTTGGTTCTTTATAAAAGGTTATGAAATTCAACAACCGAGCTCACACAGAGATAAGGCTATCCTGTGCTATCTTGTTTTCTTCCAAAAATGTTGAATTCAGCAAATTTGAAACTGCTGGAAAATGAAGAATTAAGGTGATAAAGTATGTCAAATTCAAAACTTTGGGAAAACAGGGCATCTGAGGCTGTGGTACCTGCCTATAAACATCTTACTGACGTCTTAATACACTGCTATTGACATCCTCAAACTCTGTCCTTGAAATGTCCTGAGTAAAAGCTGCCTACACTTGGGATAGGATACATTTCACTTAATAGTAGCTTAAAGTTAAATGTCTAGTTTAAGCCTGTCATTAAAGTCGACACTGTCAGCAGTGGAGAGAAGTGTCTCCAAAGGGCAGCCCACCTCATGTGAGTGCAGCAGTAGTCTAAGGCTGGGCATAAGCTGCACTGGTAGGTAACTCTTTCCTCCCCAGAAGTAGGGAATCATAATCCTAGAAGTTGGATGCCAGACATTTATGTCTGGTGAGGTTATTTGAGCTGGATGATGCACATCATACCACTGTGTACTCCTTCATCACTAGATGACCACTTGCACCACGGTGCCGCTCCTGATCTGGGCATCCCCAGATGGATCCCCAAGTGCCACCAGCTCCCTAAGAACAACAGCTGGTAGTGCTGGCTCCCAAGGGATAAAAGTTGTGGGGGAACCGCTGAGGAAGATGTTTTATTTGTGCTGGACAAGACTAAGACTTTTCTCTTCCTCAGCAGTAAGAGCTAGTTCAGTTCTGTCCCTGCTCAATGCTCTGCTGATGATCCCACTTACTTCACCCAGTATGACGCGGTGTGAGTCAGACCTGTAAGCCTCAGCTGCAGTTAAGATGACCGCATCCATCTATTCTCAAATTCTAGAGTTTGCTTTAGGGACAAATAACAATAAGTAACAGATTCTCTCAGATCAGGTGTTGGGCTTTCTGCAGACTGAACAAGCCTCCTTTCGTTGCAGGCTGAAAAGAATCTAAAACTGGAAGAAAGAATCACCATGCTGCAACAGCAGAATGAAGAACTCAGAGCCAGGATTGAGCAGAATACTGTCATAACAAGGTTTGTGCTGATATTTGCAATCTGTCTGAACTTGAAAAGAGACTCCAGATATTAACTGCCCAAGGCTGACACTTATTTCCTAAGGGAAAAAACTTATTTCTTCCTGAAAGTGTATTGGTGTCCTGTTCTGCCTGGTTTATCAAATCTTTTTTATATTGGGGTTTGCTTACTTCAACATAAGGAAGGCCATGTATCTGTATGTGTATTCCCATGATTATTATGCTGAGAGAGAAGTTGCCAGTGGCTTCTAATCTCAGTGTCAGTGCCCTGAGACCCATTAGTCAGTGGATAACGAGGATGGGCAATGGGGCAATTCCAGGAGACACATCCTAATGATACCACTGCCACCCATACAGGGTTATCCTTTGGTGGGTTTTTTCATCTGCACTGTTTGCACCCTTGTCACAACTTTGCAAAGGTGACAAGGCTCTTTCAGTTAGGTGGTATAGAAAGAGAAGGGTAGGACAGTCCCTGTCCTGGACAGTTTATAGTCTGCTGTAAGGCAAGAGACCACAGTTAGAGCCACGAGGAAGGGGAACCAGGGTGAGATGCTGGAGCTGAAGTTGCCCTAGCACATAAGCTGCCTAGCTGTCATTGTTGCCAGAAATAATGCTGCTGGCCTACAATGTAATTTAATTTTTAGCTGACCTTTTAAAGCTTCAGCATCTCATCTCTGTTTTAATTCTAGAATTTGTCTTCCTAGTGTCTCCTTTATTAATAATTTAGCCTTTAAAAGTTACCTCATCTCCTGCATGTACATATTTTAAAAAGGCAGCACTGCTTGTACTAACACCCAGATTGGGTGAGGATTATGTTTCCTTTCACCTGATTGTAAATACCTGTAACACACATGTCCCTGTCTGAGGTGGGTGTCTGCAGCCTTGCTGTGCTTGGGGAGGGCAAACAGGGATTTAAATGTCTGGTTCACGAGAGCAGTTTGATCATTTGGGCTGAGTGAGCTGTGGTCTAGAAGTGGCACTCTCTCTCCACGCCTCTGACAGCAGCCAGGGTGCCTGCGTCAGTGCTTTCCATTTCAGCTGCCTGCCTCTGGCTGGGTGAATAGCACCCTCCGTTCCTGGCCAGCGCCTGGCTCCAGTGTTTTACTTTCTTGCCTCTAACTATGTAGGTACTGGTTTTGAAGAACATCTTTGGGGAGAAATTCTGAATTTGAGGTCAGCCTGGAAAGTCAATTCCAAGGACAGTAATTTTCCACAGTAACATTTGGGAACAGCTACAGGGACAGCATTAGCCAGGGCTTTAAAGCCAGAGTTATTGGAACATGCGTTTTCCTGGCAGCAGCAGCAGCCACCCTGACTGCTCATTTCTGTTGTGCTGGCACTGCCTGGGAAGTGCAGCATGAAGAGCTCAGGGAGCTGCCCTTGCTGCGGAACAATGTGGATTAGAGCTATTTCTGCTGATTTGCAGTTTGGGTGCCTGTGTGGCTGTGGCAGCCCAGCAGCAGCGAGAGGAGGGAGGAGGAAGGATGTGAGACACAGCAAAGCCAATCTTTGCAGCTCAGACAGGGAGGGAGGCCAGAGGAATCAGGGGGCTGAGGAGAGCACCACAAAGAGATTTCCAATCAGTCATAGCTAAGGGCAGGTACAAAGGAAGAGAGAAGTACCTTGTATATAGATAATGCACCAGCTTTGGACACAGGAGCTCCACAGAGCCTCCGCGGGGACTTTCCCAAGCACTTGAATAATTCATCTGATTTCCCAACATCTCAGATTCTCCCCTCAAATCAATCAGCATTTTTTTGGTCCTTTGTACTGGGGATGTTTGAGGAATGGTGTATTCCAGCACCCTAAAGATGAAGATGACCAGGATGGTGTCTGGTCTCTGTTGGCATAACCCAGACACCTACTGACCTCTGGGCCTTTTTGGGAGAGGCTTTAATGTGAGTCAAGCACAAAACTCAGGCGCCTTCCCCTGCATCCCTATCATGTCAGTGTGTCCCTGAAGACCTCTAAAGTTTTATGGCTGTGATTTGTTATAGCTGCTTAGATTGTTGAGAGGCTGGGAAAGGAACATGCCTAATCTAAGTCTGCAGTGCTGAGGAGAAAGGTTTCCCTCGATGGGTTAGGTCTAAAATTGGAACATGTATCTCAAGATACAAACTTACACTGTGAGAACACATTTGGTTTTACACTGAATGATGAAGAGGGGCTGAATGGACCTTTGTATGTAAGCAACGATGCTGCATCTGCTCATGCCCCTCCCTGCCGTGGTGCAGCAGCAGCAGACTCAGGTTGCTGAGCTGGAGGCAGAGGCTTTGCTGGAGGATGTCTGCACTGCTGCCTGTGCAAGCTGTCTCTGGGTGGCGTGGAGCTGGCGCTGCCTGTGTCCGCTCATGTCATGTCAGGTCATACAGTGTGAACTCCCAGTGCAATGTGCACAAGGCTAAAAATGAGCAGCATGACAAGCAGCAGCTCCTTCCTCCATCCATGTGCCAGAGCAGGTCTCTCTGGGGGACATGTCCACATGCAGCATGGTCTGTTCACAGGCACTTGACTGCATGACTCTTTTCTGCTCAGATGTCTCCCTGCTTAGCTGCAGGTCATGTGAATAACTTGAAGCCTGCCTCTGCCAGCAAATTGCAGTGTTCGTTAGTGCTGCAAAGTCTATAGTGTGAGAGACTCCGGAGGACACTGATACCGTGCATCCTATTAAATCTCCAGCAAGCAGCATGAAGCCCTCCAGTGTAAAGGAAGCTGATACATGCTGATGGGCTGTGGGTTGCCCTTGCCTTCTGTCCAAGCAGTGCCTTTAGCAGAGGAGGGAGCTGAGCCCTTCACTGTGCTCTGAGGTTTGTGCTGGTGTGACAAGCCCATTCCCAATACCCAGATGAGCTTCACCAGCCAGTCACACACCGAAAGTGGCACAAAGGCAGGGAAGTCATGTGGGGTTTTTTTTCCTCAGTGACTGTAGGGATAGGGACAAGGGGATTGGCTTTAAACTGGAAAAGGGGAGATTCAGATTAGAGATCAGGAAAAAATTCTTCCCTGTGAGGGTGCTGAGGCACTGGCACAGGGTGCCCAGAGAAGCTGTGGCTGCCCCATCCCTGGCAGTGTTCAAGGCCAGATTGGATGGGGCTTGGAGCAACCTGGTCTAGTGGAAGGTGTCCTTGCCTGTGGCAGGGATGATCTTTAAGGTCCTTTCTAGCCCAAATAATCCATGAATCTAAGATTCCATGATTCTATGAAAGCCGGCTGGAAAAGGATGTAGTGGGGCTTTGTGTATAACTTTTAGGGCCTGCCTTGCTAGACACTGCAAAAGTAATTCCATGTGTAGCAAGTTTCCTATGGAGTTATTTCTTCAGGATGAGCTACCATGTGGACTTTGTTGTGCCTGTTAGACCATGAGCTCATGCCACAGGTGGTTCCCCAAAGGGACAGTGAATAGGATTTTCCTCTTCTAACAGGCAAGCAGCTTTCTGAAAACTGCTGCCAACAGTTGTCCTTTAATCCCTCAATTCTACCAGCCACTGCTTCATGGTTCAAAACTTGCAGGGGGGTGGGAAAAGAACAGATGTATTTGTGCCCACATGAGCTTCATTTCTGTAGGAACTGAGGCTAAAAAAGCAGAGATTCTTTAAAAAGGCTTTTTTAATAAACTCAGAAACGCCACCCCCACCCTCTCAGAGACTGCTGATGACATGAGAGTAGACCAGCAGTCCATGACATCTGCTATGGCTTCAGGCTATACCCAGGGAAGGAGTTCAGCAGAATTCCATGTGTGCATCCAAAACGCACACCCAGCTGCTGGGGGAGGGGGGGAGGTTAGGTGCCTCCTTTTTTTATTCCTGTATCATCCTAAGATGCCTGTAAATCATATTAGGTACATGCCCAGAGCTGCCCCAGGCTGATCACATCAGGAGCTGGCTCCTGGCCAAGCATAATAGGCTGCAGAAGCCAGGTGTTGCTGTGAACACATCCTCTGGGATGGTGATGTTGTCAGCACATATCCAAAACACATCTGGATCAGGTCCCACACTTGCCTACGTTGCTCTATTTCACCTGGTTAGGTGAGAGCAGACTCACTGAGGCTGCGGTGCTATTAGGAGATCTCCATGCCCCAACTGCCCAGAAGCCATCAGCTCACAGGGCATTACGGGGAAAAACCTCCCTGTCCTGGGCAGTCAGGAATAGAGGACCAAGGAGGAGGGAGGTGGAGAAGGACCCATAGCCTCATGACCACTTACAAAGGAGAGGGAAGGTCTTGAAGCTGAGCTGCACCAGGACATCAGCTAAAATAGGGAGCATGGAGAGTGCAGCAGTAGCAGCTGGTCAAAAGAGTCAGGGATGTAGCTGCTTCATCTCACCTCTTTGCTTTGCCACTGCACAAATGCTTGCTCATGGCACAGCTTTGGTGGCAGGGTTGAGAAGCAAGGGTGAGAGTTACACCTCACCCTTGAGAGTTGAGACTTTGGATTTTCATCACTGATCAGACAGAAGAAGGCCTAAGCCCCAGGACTGTTCCCCTCTGGGGACTACTGTAGCCACTGTGCTGCTCTGGAGAAAAATGGGCAGCATTACAAGCATCAATTGGGTTGTGAAATGCCACGGGGTAAAGGTGTCTGGAACCAGGCATTGAAGCCAGGGAGAAAGCAGGATTTAAGGAGCCCACCTGCACTTTGTGCTGCTTATTTGCTATCTGCATGGGTGCCACTGCTGGGGCAGGCCATGCTGGGTTGATCTCTGAAGCCCCTGCTCTTCTCGGTGCAGGAACAGAAGCCCAGGCCAAGGGGTCACATGTGCATGGAGCATAAGTGCTCACTGACCCAGGGCTCTGGGATCCATCAGGAGTGAGTTTGACCCCATGGATGTTTATGGGCACATTGCCGGGTAGAAACTGCTGTGCCAGTGACCAGGTTGTACAGAGGCCATAACCCCATACTGGGCGCCTGCTTCCTCCATGTGCTGAACAAGGGGAGATAAATGCTCCAGTCAGCTTCATTGCAAGCAAATATTGATGGGCAGAGGACCTCTGAAACCACTGTG